TTTTTTTTTTTTTTTTTTTTTTTTTTTTATGCTGTGGAACTAATCTACTTCCATCATAGCGACATTAGAAATGGTGAACGGTACTAACGTAGTCGTCGATGAGATTCGAGGACGACAGACAAAAAGTTGGCACAAGTTCGCGCCACACACGTAAGATCCCACCAGCATCAAGCCAAGTAACACGCGGATCAATACATTTTTACACACGTACACCCTCACGTTATAATTATAATCCATTATATTTTATTCCAGATTGCCACTCACATTTTACTACTGCATATAAATAGCGCAATGTCGTTATATATATTTATCATCTCGATACTTCTGTATTTTGCCCGTTAACTTTGTCATCATATTTATTACGTATCGTGTATCCCGGCACTCCTGTCGGCCACAAGTCTGCGCTCTGCCATTTATCTAGTTCTAATTTCTCATTTAGATGACGTATATCTGAGAGTCGATCATTGACCATTTATGTGTCGCGATTATATGAATATCTCGTGATCTCAAACATATCAGCTAAATGACGCAATTAACGCGACTTGTGGCAGAGTGCATACTTATGCCTGATTTACTTTGATTTCTGCCTTTCTATAAGCCACGAGGCAAATGGCTCGTTCTATCGACGTGAAGACCATCGAGTTTTTAGTTATTGACATTGAATTACGAATGACACGCAATCGTGAAACGGAAATATCCCTCAATGGTCTCTCGTCTGTATAACGAACTATAAGCCCGTTACACCTAGAAACAATCGCATCGTTCGCAAATCTACTTATTATTAGTGGTGGATGTGACATTTGTTTTTGTAGGAATTTCTATTTTGAAAGAGTAGACTAGCGAACGCGTGTTTATCTTCTTCTCTTCTTCGTGTACATCCTTCGCGCTCCTTGCGATCAGGATTGCATTTTGATCGATTCCGTGTTCGGCGATTTTATTCCATGGATACGGCTGACTGGCGCTCATTAGCAAGTCAGTCTATGTCCAGTATGAATGCCCGTGAACATACGATAAAGTCTAAATGCAACCTGCCGCGATCGAGACCTTCCTCCTTTCTTTCCCCCACGAACCACGTAGCCGGTGTACGTGATAATCATGAGAGCACCTCTGACGTAACTCTCTAAGCCTACAACTTGTGATTTAGTTTATCTTGTTTTCTGATGGTTCCTTTTTTCTATCATATTTTTTTTCATATTGTTTTATGTTCTCCGCGGCAGCTACCACTATTATTATTATTACTACTGCTCTTCTACTACTTTTACTCTATTCCTACTGCTACTATTACTATTATAACTCTATTGCTACTACTTTACTGTTGTCTTTTTTTACTTTTTATCATCTCTTATGTTGAATTTTTTTTTTAATCTCTTTGACACACAGTTTTACGAGGAACGTTCCCGCCCTCACCTTTTTACATTTTGTGTCTTTTCCCAGTGTCGAACTGCAGAAAGCTAACCTAGAGGCCCATAATACCCAAACCCCTGGCAGCGGTACCACTCCCGGAGCATCCGGGGCCAGTGCTTCCCCCTCTACCACCACTACCACTGCCTCTCCCTTGGCCAGCGCCATCCCCTTGGCTCAGCTGCTAAGCAAGCCAGGCGCCCTCAACGCCCTATCTAGCCTCACCGCCCTCGGCGGACTCACGGAATTGCTAGGTGGTGCTGCTGGCGCAGCTGCATCCGCGCTACCGGTCCAGACTACCGGCGTGCACCGATCGCACAAGACCTTTACGCCGAGGCTCCGTAGCCCGGGCGCACCAGGCCCGACCGACAGCGGCAAGTTCAAGTCCGAGCGTACCAAGTATAATCCGTACTGAATGAACGGACAAGCAGCAGGATGATAATGATGTTACAGGGGGAACACTACACATAAATACAAATCTACTACATACTTTTAGCGTACACTTGTGTAATACACCGAAAAAAAAGTGCGTACGGACGCCAGGGTAGCGAGTACGAAGACTTGGCGAAGGATTGATTCGTCGTTTTGTGTTATTAAATGATTGTTCAGATGGGAGCGTGAGTACCATTGTCTAAATGGGTAGTGAAAGGAATTGTATGAAGCCGAGGAAGAAGATGATTCTCAATCACCTCTCGATCACGAAAGATTACCATCGATCGACGATTTTGGAAACTGATTTTGGAAAGAAGGAATCTTTCTCTAGAAAAATGAAATACTTTTTAATCATTTTTCTGGAGATAATAATGCTCCGCTTGCCCATATTAGCTTACTTCCTCCTAAGAAATCACTGTACGGAAACATTTTGTAGGATTTTTATTTGTTTTTGATGTATTATTTTTAGCTGAGGAAAAAGAAAAGGCAGATTGGAGCGTTTGGAATATTTTGTGTTATTAAACCCGATTATGATCCGATGCTAAGTCTTAGAAACACACCATATACTATCGTGACACGCCCTCCGAGATCGGGATGTTCGACGCTATCGTGTAAAGACTGATTGTGTAATGTAATGAAGCTGCGGAATTCATTAATGATAAATTCTTTTGAAGTCCTTTACAATGATGAACATGTAGTTTTTCTTGTAACGTTTCATTTTCTACGAGCGATTTCTGATAGGCTCGGAGGACGCGATCGCTCATGCACCGTCGCAAGACAGCCTTTTTTTTATATAAAATATAAATATATAATTACATTATAATTATTATTACAATATATTATGGATTATAATTAATTAACTGTTTGAAAAAAAAAAACTTATTAGTATATATAGCTATACCAATGTGATTTTTTTTTTCGTAGTAGATAGAAATTCTATTGATAGAAAGAAATTTTTCGCGCACGCGTGAATGAATATGTGTGATGAAGAGAAAGGGAAGGAAAGTGCGTGAAAGAAATCGTCTTTGAATCATGTTTATTAGTCTTTGTAATAAATCGTGTTGAGAATGCACTATGTCATAATCATGTAACGTGATGATTTAGATGACTTTTGCGGTCTTCTTTTTGAAAATCTGCAATCGAGCGATCAAGGAGTTCGCTAGAAATGTGAACACGGTGAATTTTGAAGCATTATAATCGACCATCGCAATATGAAATAATCAATCAAGCTAATACACATAGTGTTGTAACGGTAATAAACTTAATCCTTATATGCACGCGAGACGACCAAGGTCTGCATGAAATCGCGTGTAAATTATGTTTTTGTGAAATTAAACTAATAAAACACGTATATACACATAAAAAACACAGTCAGATTTCTAATTCCACGGTAATTCGAGCGTTTTTTGATTTATTGTTCTGTAAGTTAACGGAAAACGTGAAGTCGAAATCGTCTAGCCGCGAAAGATCAGTTAGATCCAAGTCTAACACAATCGCAGAAGAAAAAGGAAAACAGTTTGAACGGATGTTCAAGATATTTCATCACTTGGATAAAGACGATCGATAATGGAATCACCAGATAAGTGTTTGTGTGCTCAATTTTCTAGTTTATAGTGAGTACTTGCAAGTAGCGACCGATTGGGTGTAGGACATAATGGTCGGATTATCACAACAAGTACTGACTTATCGCGAGCGTGGCCATGGTTTATCGGAACGCGTGATAATCGCATGAAGAACCAGTCCCGTTTGCAGAAAAATTATTCCGATCGGATCAACCGTCGCCATGATCGCGAGATATCTTCATTGCGTTTTCTTCATTTTAGATTGTACGGTCTCGTTCCATTTCTTTCTCGAGACAATAAACTCACATCAACTCATGCCCAGGACTCTAAGTGACTGTTTACAATGAAAAAAGCATAAGTAAGAAAACCATGAAGAAATGTGTTAGAAAATGCTCACAGTCCTATCATGCATGTAGGTATATCAAGTAAAGCGTATAATAACGATGTAATAATATATAATAATATAATAAATCAAGAAACTATTTCAGACAAAATTAAAAGAGTATCTTTGTATTTAATTGAAAACAAAATTTCATTGCTTGGGACAGATGATTTATTAAGGGAAACCATTACTGTGCCTGGTATTCCTACATCGTGCATAGAAGCAGAGCATCCTGTAGGCAGATAATCTTGAGATGTACATTAGTCTATAATGATATCGCAGAGCTTACATGCTTATCAGACTTTAGCTACCCTGTATCATCTTGTTAAATAAAGCTAGGCGTGTTTAATACAGTAAGAGAAATACAATACCAAATAAAAACAGCTCTGGCGTTCCTGCGAGTGAGGTCCCGCAATGTATTGCAGGAAAAAAATGTATGTACGGACATAAACGATAGCGAAAAATTTATTTTTCGATCTTTTATTGGGAAAGCAACATATTCCTTTTGGATCGGAAATGGAATACCTCCAATATATTGCGCGACCACCTTTATGGTACTTGAACGTTTTATTACCACCTTCTTTTTTAAGCATAACGTTTTTGCGTTAATCTTTCAGCGATTTTTTGAATTGGTATAATTGAAGGAAAAAGTGAATGGTAGAAATATACATGCTCGGTTTATTGTATCTTTGAATAGGGAACGATTTTTGCATATGAAGATATCTCGATTTGTTATAAGAATGCGACATGGCTTCTTCTATCGTTTCTTCAGTCATTCTCCTTAATAATAGTTACATTTCAAATAAAATTTAATATTTTTTAAAATAATTTTTTTATTAACGATTTTGATTAACGCAAGCATTTTTTGTACTTTTTGCTGTCAAACAGATTGTACATAATTTGACCGTATTCTGGTACATTCAGCGCCTGATATTCATCTTTCGTGCAACATTTATGTTAATCATGGCAAACGTAGGATTCGGATCAGGACCGGCTACTGTTTGACGCTCAATGTACGCTGAGAGTACGGTCCATTGAAATCCGTATATATACTTATGTACCATGTCTCACCACGTACGTGTAAGTGTTAAGCGTAATCAAGATCGGAGAGAAACTCTTACAGAGAGAGCGAGAGAGAAAGATGTAGATAAAGGGAGAGAAAGAGAGAGAGAGAGAGAGAGAGAGAGAGAGAGAGAGAAAGAGAGATAGAAAAAGAGAAGATGTATCCATCCAACCAACTTGACCCAGGCTCCTGCCCGTTTTTGGTAAGCACCATCCATTCCTTCGTAGTCCTGTTAATCGATTTATCCTGTTGGCTGCGAAGTTCTCATTTACTACGTTTCTCAGTTCTCATTTTTTTTCTAATTCAATCGTTGCGCAATCTTTTTTTTTTTAATACCAGATATGTACGACCAACCATCCGAATCCTTCCGGGTTCGCGAGAAATCCTCGAGAAAAGTACGTATCACGTGATAAAAATTTTTATAGACCTCCGGAGTCGCGCGGTAACGTTGCTCTGCATTCTTGGCAGACGTAGTAATAGCTTTATTTTGCAGGTTCGACACAGATGTTGAATGTCTGTGATATCACTCTGCTGATGGTTCGTACAAATTTGTAGACCGGGCATGCAAATTAAGAGATTTTATATACTATGCCGGGCTTTGTACATATACTACGTCGGAATACGGCTCACGGAGAGTCATTAGATTCATGTTGTGTTCTACTTCCGCGTCGCATGCTGCAGCATCTTTATTCGGACGAAAAGATTCGGCCAGTCAGCCTCGTTAGTCTTTTCCTCCGATGCTGAAAATGTGTCGGGATTTTATCTCGGTTCTCTCTTACGAGTATGAGGAGAGAGTCCTGGAAGATGATGAAAATTCTCACAAGCATGTCATCCACTAAGTGAACTAATTTTTTGTAGCTGTTAGAAGAGAGTACCGAGTCTTACATAACGCATGAGAAAATAAACCAATTAAAGTCCTTCATTTCCTCCCTTGCATAAAATAAAAGACATCGGCTCCGTTCAGCAGAAAAAAAACAACTTTGGAACTGTTGTAAAATTCTTTAATAGTCTTGTCTCACTAGATTTAAATGTACAAATCATATTAAAGAATCTTACAACAATTACAAAGCTGCTTTTTCTGATGAATGCAGCCATTAATTGATTTTATTATGTTTCATACGTTTTACAAGAATCTGTATTTCCTTGTAGAGATCATTCAGAGAACTCTCATCTCGTACTTGTTGGAGTGAACATGACCGGTAGAAATGAATATTACTGTTTCTCACGAAGCAACCGATTGTGTTTCAGGATATCGATGGAGACGTCGGGGGTGCCTATGCCCGCGTATCACTTCATCCCACCGGACCACATTGTGAAATCGCCCATCCACTAAATGTGGAGAGCCGTCGTGGTCGTTGTCGTCGTCGAAAGGACGCGGAAGCATCGCGGAAGCGCGCGAAGCTGTCAGTGGCATATGGGGCTGGGCCACACACTGTGTTCAGCTTGCAAATCGATACACTTGCAAAAAGAAACAAGACACACGACAGTGAGAAAGAGACAGAGAGAAAGAGAGCGAGAGAAAGTGAGAGAAGGAGGGAGAGAAAGAGAGAGAAAGAGAGTGAGAGAAAAAGAGACACACATAATACGTACTCACGTAGAACACTCGCACGTATTCAGTAAGGAGTCTACTTGTGCGCGCTTTAAGTAACCGTGTACGTTAAAATCGAACATATTCTAATATTACAGATATACGTAAAAAAACGTGTACACATATATATACACACATATATATATGTATATGTGTGTATATATATATATATGTATATATAAAATATACATACACATACATGTGAGACAATGAAGCGAGAGTTAAACGTACATGGAAAAATGATGAAGATACGCACGCGCGTACACAGACACACTTGAGTGTACAAAACTGTACAAAAAGTTATTTAAACAAAAGAACAAAAAATAATGATGCACGCCGCAGCCACGAGCTGTTGCCGATTGGTAAAGGGAACAAGCCAAAGATATGTTAGTTTTCATTTTTATATTTAAACGAAAAAAAAAATGATAACGCGAGACGGGAGAGAAATACGAGAGAATTATTATTATTAATTATATTACTACAAACGATGATGCTAAATAAATATTAGGCCGATTGTTAGCGTTTTTTCTATTGCGGATACACCGTCGCGCCGACAGTTTTCGCGAACTTAGTTACTTCATCCGGAAGAAAAGCGACAACGGAAATGCAACTGGTATCACGAGATTGTTGTTCAGACAAATCGGTAGTCAAAGAGCTCAAAGCGAATGCTTCACTTTCGACTTTTTGACAAAATTTTATAGAGCTTACAAATTAGACGCATTCCCTTTTACTTGTGATACGATCGAAAAAATGAAAGAATATCTTTAATAGGAATTAAATTTATATTTTCATTTTTTTTATATTTTCATTTTTAAATTATATTTAAACGGTGATATTTAGAGGCATCTTAAAATGTAATGAGAGAAGAAAATTTAAATTGCTTTGCCGATATTGGCGATATTTAACTTGCATTCTCGATGGCATGATTTGATAAAAGTTGCTCATATATTTGAGAATTTCTTAGAATAGAAATATTTTGAGTCTGCTTCGAACTCTTTGATGTTTCGAGGTGCGCGTTCCAAGTTACTCATCATTTGAATCTAAAATTGAATCTCATATATAATATATCTCAATATCACACGATAGTATATGATCGGCACATCGATGAAGAAGACTGGGACATGTGTCGAGTGTCTCGATTACGTGGTCCCTTCTGCCCCCACATATCTTTCTTGACCACGT